TCACAACCAGTGTCAACATAGATGGCATATTAAAATTTACAATCTTGAGATAATGCACGTTTGACATTTATCCTAAACAGGTACAAGTAAATTGATTTTGAAAATAGGGTTGTATGTAAATTGGTTTAAAATTTTTTAGTAAAAAATAATAAATGGGAAAAACTGGTTCTGTCCCTTGTTCTTGCCTTTTATTTTTTAAGTTTTAAAATAAAATTCAAATTTTTATAAAGTTTAAACAGTTATCAATATAATATGATCTTCTGAGTGAAATAATATGTTAACCACACTATAAAATATAATATACGGTATACCTACTAATACTATATCTTGTGCCGAAGTTAAAAATAAAAGGCCTTTCAAATTTCATATAGCAACTTATGCCATTCATTATATCTCGTTTAAATTACATTATTAATATTAGCAATAATACTAATGCTAATATTACTAATAATGTTTGAAGCTCATATTATGTATATGAGGATTATTATTAACAGTAATACTATTATTAGTAACAGTAATCTTTATAGATTATAGTATAGTATAGGCTTCAATTTTCAACAAAATTCTGGTTAGAGCAACTCACCTTCCATTACTTTCATTTGCTCTTTCCATATTAATTAATTGTCTAGTTTTGGTTATAAGTTACGGTAATTAACGAAAGCATGAACGAGGTAAACATCCACAAAAAAATTAGTTCTTCATTATCATATCACATCCACCAAAACACGTGGATACATAAGTTCTTACTAAACTTCCACCATATTCTGTAGGGGTTACCGAAGCGTCATCTAACATACATGAGAGTATCTTTAGGTAATTTTTTAAACATAAAGCTTCAAATTAATTAAACAAATTTGAGAAAAGCTATATTTGTGATACTTGATGGTCTTTTGCGAAGGGCATTATATAAATTTCAAGAGTTATAAAAGTAGGGGTTGAACCTAGCTTTTGTGATGTTCCATACAAAATTGAAATGCGAAGTTTTCAAAAGAAATATGAAACGAAGTTTCATATATAATAATTGTTAATATTGCATAAATATTAAATGATAAATTTACTTCATTGCTCAGTATCAACAAAAATAATAACAGTAATAAAATACCAACAAGCAAAACGAATTAATTCAGAATAATATTACAATACTGAAATAAGACAGAAATCCCTAGTGTATATAAATAATACAGGAATACAATTTAGTTGGTGTAATCTCATCTACTTACCACGCGTGATAGCTGTGTAATTTTTTACCGGTATAAACTAAAGTACACGTTTTTTTAAAGAAACTTAAAATTAATTTCCATTCTTATAATGAAAGGAAAATTTGTTCTTAAAATGTGCCAGTTTCACATAAAACATGCTCGAGAAAATCGTTAAGTTAATCTTATTTCAGTTTACTTATGTTCCTTTGTTGTCTGTAAAGTAGATAATGCCTGTTATTGACCAGGAAGAACATTGCTTAATATGAAAAGTTGAGCAAGGATGTCGACAGAAGTATTCTTTAACGGTTATTCAGGTAATGTCTAAAGGTTACGACTCATCTGTGGTGTAACGAGAATGACAAGTTGTATGCTTAACGTGTGTCGTACTGGGTTTCTCTAGACTACCAAACGGTAGTTTTGATCTTTTGTAGGTGTTACGACGGCGGAATTCAAGTGACGCTGGTAACACGTAATGAGTATCTAGAGGGTTCGGGAAACATCACGAATAATCTAGTATTTGCTAGACGCCCTCTATTCCTGTATATAAGCGCGCTAGATAAAGCGAGACAATTTAATCGGAACTCGAAAAGCAGACAGAGAGATTGAAGATATAGACAGATAATCGAGTCAAGCCGTAAGTAAAGTGTGTAAATCATTGTGAATTATAGCGTGTGTTTAAGTTAAAGTGTCTGTGGAAATTCTGTGTATTGCAAAGTTGTATTGAGGAAGAATAAACTAGTTTTATTTAAGAAAGGACTTGTATCGCTGAAGTTCCTCGCGAAGAATTTTTTACGGGAAATTAACAAACGACCAGAGATGTAACAATACTTATTTCTTTATCCTATTTAAGTTGTAATCAAAGTCTGCCTTCCTAGAATATTTGACATTCTGGTATAACCATATAACACGAGAGAAGAACTTTTCTTAATAACTTATTAAGATGAAGCTAGTAGGCGTTTTTAAAATCAAATTTATATCGTGTTAAAGCTATTGGTTTTTGAAGTAGAATACGCAACTGCAGCTAATTTAATTTTCATATTGAATTATGAATTTCTTTAATCATATATATTTCCTGGATAAAATCTGATAAAAAATGGGGATGGTGCTAGCTGCAATGTTAGTTATATAATGATCCCCGAATTTAAAAAAATGTAATTTTATTTCTTTATCGTTTAATCTTGTTTCAAATGCTAATCATCAATTTTTTTATCACGTTTATTCGTTACGATATATATATATATATACTTTGTAATTTCCATCAACTTTGTTAGCTCTTAATTGACCAGTGCTTTAATTTTTTTATCATTGTTCGAAAAATACCTTTCTCCAGTTAGTTTTTAATTTTTTTCTCTTGCATGGCTGGGTGCAAGTTGACTTAATGGTAAAGTTCTGAATTTTGGAGCTGGCGAACAGGATCTAAAACCATATGATACCACAAAATATTTCTTACACCTCAAACTGAGAGTGCTTTATAAGAGTAACAGTCAATTCCTTAATGTGGATGGTGGGTGCTGCTGACTGGCTGTCTTCCCTCTAGTGACCTAGTCAATAGTCAAAATTAGGGACAGCGGCGCATAGCCTTACTAGCTCCGTCATAAATACAAAATATAAATGTCATCTCAACCCCAGCTTAGCAGTTTGTTTTTCATAGCAGGTACAATTTGTAATTTGTTTGAGTTTTTATTTTAATCCAAACATACGTGTCAATGACATCAACAAGCTTCAAACCATTTCTCAGTTTATAATAGAATACCACAAGTTCAGTCTGCTGATTTCTACTGGCTATATATAGCACATAGAATGTGTTAGAAAAATCTTGATAATACTTTTATATGTGTGTGCGAGTGCATCTGTAATACTTCAACATTCTCAACACAGCTAGAAACACACCAGATCTTGTGATATATAAGCATATCGTGCATTTTTTATCTTCTTATTTTAATATAGTATTATTCGAAATTTGTTAGTTATTGTGGTGAGTGCAGTTTAAGAAAATAATTAAATTGCTTTTGTTCTAGCTGTCTTTGATCTTTGTCATTCTCGAATAGGACCGAATAGGGGGTATGAATGTAATGCTGCACATTATGCAAGGATGTCGACAGCAATGCCCTCCCATAGTAGGCCATGGCAATGCCTTTAAATTAAGACCCTCCTTAAGTTTGAATAAGAATGACCAGTTATTTGGTTAGCAGTAGTTGTTCTGGATAAGTCTGGTGTTATCTTTGGGATATATGACCTTGACCAGTACAGTTTGGAGATAGAACAGTTTACTATCCAGTAAAAGTAATTATCCAGCGTCCTAAGCAAATATACACACTGTATTTGTGTTATTAAATAAAGATTGTTCACCGTGTCTTACATTTTGTTCAGTTTCTTTATTTCATTCTCACAAACTCAGTTTCAGAAAAAATCAGAATTACTTTGTATGAACATCATGGCAAATCTCCTGTCATTCAGTGGACCTATCTTGTAGCTCTCAATTTTACCTGAGGATACAACAAGTTTAATATCATCAGCAAGATTTATTAATTTATAAATTACAAATTTTGCTCTTTCAAGATGATTAATGCAAATAAGAAAGAACAAAGACCTATGCTCTGACCCCTGTGATACTCCACTAATAACAAAAGTTTGGTTTGACTGGACTCCATTGATAACAACAATGAATTTTTAGTATTTTTAAAATGTACATTTTATATACTTTATTGATGCAAACCCTTTAATTTGCTTATATGTACACTAATTTTTCCGTTAATTCCTATATTATCATATCAATAAATAAATAATTCTCTTGTAGTGCGAGGTATTTTTAGATAGACACTAAAAAAAGGACGCAATTTTTTAAAATTCATAGGGTGTTCACTTCCAATGTGAATTACTATTCTTTGAATGTCTGTAATCCAATTTTTTTAGGAGGGGGAGCATTCATATTAGATCCATTTAAGCTAGTATCTTATTCTACGTTGCATCGTTGAATTAAGACGGCGCTAGCATAGGAATGACATCAGCAGTCTAAAAAAACAAAACCAACACTCAGAGAAAGACATTAAGTAATAGTCATGCAACACAACGCTACACAAACCGAACATTAAACTGTAATTCAACATTTGAAGGAATGTGTGAGAGGTATAAAATTGCCAGTTAACATTCAATTTTTTCTACGCACACAACAATTACATAAAACAAGTTTTCAGACAAAATACACTACAACCAGTTCCCAATAATGTGGGAAGTGAAAACGGGGATTATTTACACGTAGTTTGATTTTGGCTGGTTGTTTCTTCTCTCTCTCATCAAGCACTGTTCGAGAAGTTCAAAATGAAAGTCGTTAGCAGCCGACGACCCTCTATCCTGGTAAAGTCCATGCAATGCTGAAGTTGAATCGGCTTATAAGCAAGCAACGTGGAAAACAACCTAAACTCGCTTGAGCCTTTCTGTGATTCACGATATTACATAATCAGGCATGTTGTGCATAAATGTGTTTATTCACTTTTTGTTTCGTAATAAACCTGCTCACTATTCGCGTTATTGTACTAACGTTTAACTTAAAAGGTCTAAATTTTTCACTATTATCTTAAATATCCATATCTAGAATCAATATTTCACCATAAAAACAGGAGAAATAATAGAATCCCGATACCTCTCACTGATATAAATATACGTCACATGCTCGCAATGTCTTACGGATTCAACACATTACCGAAAAGAAATCAAACCATACATGGCAAGGTGTGCTTGTGTGCTCGGCGGGACAAATTAAAAGCGCACGCGCAATATTAGTGTGGCAATTTGCTTTAGTCATCTTGTCAGCGAAACGTGAGCAAACGGGGTGACTAAAAAAGATATTTACAGATAAAACTTATTATATAAATTTGCACGTAGTTACTCTTTAACCGAAAATTATACTCAACTTCAATTATAGGGGTCATATATTTTCATCGAGTAATAAAACAAAGATAAAAGGTAAGATACAATTAAATTAATGTGTGGTTTTACGTTTGCTCCGCTCACATATGTAACTCTCTGAGTATTAGAACGTTTGCTGGTTTTTAATAAAATATATTTTTCACTATCTCGTGGTATATTGTGTTTGTATGTGGAATATTAATATTAGGAATTATATCCTGCGCATATTTTCTAAGCAAACATAAAATCTTTTATCAGCGATTGTGAAATACTGGAATATCACTGTAACTGATGTTAATTAACAAATAAAATGATTAAAAATTAATCTGTAAATAGCTGCAGCTACATATATTTTCATTTGTTTTTACAGTGCCAATTACATGTAATGTTTGTTAATTAAATATTTATGTTGTCTGTATAGATGTCGTTTAGAATAGTGAGACAGAGCAAGTTTCGTCACGTTTTCGGGCAACCCTTGAAGAGAGAACAGTGTTATGATAATATCCGAATTACTAAGAATTCGTGGGATTCGAACTTCTGTGCAGTTAATCCCAAATTTATAGCAATCATCACTGAAATAGCAGGAGGAGGAGCATTCTTGGTTTTGCCGTTATTCAAGGTAATAATTTTTTTTTATCGGACAGTGCGGCTACGCTATCTGTATTAATAATATTATTATTCAAATTTATTGATAATTATTATTGTTGTTGTCTGTTGACATTACGTCATTAGTGATTCACTGATTGTGTGGGTTACAGCTTGGAAATGGAAGTGTGCCAGCTGATATCTTGTATAAATATAATAGTTTTTAAAGCTCACTATTAATAAATATTAATATTGTTTTATATGATAAACTACTACATAATATGAAACCTCTTAAAATGCTTGAAAATCGAGATATGTCAATTTAGCAGGTTACTAAGTAATTAAGATTTTAAAAATACGAAAGATTATGCGATTATTGATTCTATTATTATTAAATTATGCAGTGGCTAGATAACTGGCAGTCAGGAAGGATCTTTCAAATACTAAATTCCTGCAGTCCAAAATTTGAATATTAATAGCTTAAATCACCTCTCACTTGACTTGGAGAATGAGTAATAGTAAATTACGAGATTGATTTGTCTTCAAGCTTGATTAAACGATTTGAATAAAACTTTTTGATTAAAAAATAAATATCGATTGTCATTCTTGTTTAGTTTCAGTCAATGTGTGTGTTTGCTACAAGCTGCCTGGAATGACCCTCAAAATACTAAATACCCAGCAGTATATAACTTCACGGTTATGAATATTGATAAGCTTCCAATATGATAATTTGTATTATTTAAATATTTTTGATAATATAATTATTGTTGTTGTTGTAGCTCATCAATATTCAAATTATTAATTGCAGTGGCTAAATACCTTGCAATCAGGAACAATTTTTTCAAATACTACATACCCAGCAGTCCAAGCTATTAATAGACATTTGCGAGTTACTGGCTCTGTACTACATATAGTTTTATGCAGTTTTTAAACTTTGTGTAAAATATCAGGTATAGCTGCTAGTTATGTGACTATATTTTTTTTGTGATTCTTTTGTTAATTGCTTGTAATTTTTTAATTTAAGTAATGTATATTGCTTTGAGCAACAAGGGTCTAAACTAGCCAAGAGATTACTGCAAAATATTTTACTTTGATGGGTCATTGTACATATTAAAGTGTGAACACTTAATTTTTTTTGATATATGAATATACCTGTTAATCTTGATTAATTTTCAGATGGTTATATACCATCATTCTCTTATAGGAGTATACAATAATTGAAGAATGCCTAATGTTGTACAGAAAATTGGGAGTGGAAGTACCTTTCCAACATTTATATAGAATTTTTATTTGTGTTGCAAAAAGAAAGATGTGGGAAACATTTTTGTCAATAAAATAATTAGTAGTAATAATATAAATATCTGTTTCCACAAAGAACTTTACATTTGTGAATAAAACAAATTAATTTGTTAGAAAAATTATGTTTTGTAAAATGTTATGTTTTTAAAAAACGTGAAATTATTAACTTATGGTCAAAATTAAGTTAACAGTAGAGATTGGAACTTAAAAAAATCTTATAAATTAATTTATAAAGCTAACTCAACATACTCAATGTCATAAATCAATAAATATGAGAACTTAAAATTTGTAATGACTAGAATGCATTGAATAATTAGTTTGTACTCCGATAACATTATTTTTATCATCATAATCATGAACCATGATAGTGGTTCATAATAGGGGTCACCCAGGAATTACACAAAAATTCTAATAGATCATATGGGCTAAAACCATCTTAAAAAGCAAACTTGTTCTTGAAACAACACTCAAGATTTTCTCTCTCATTGATTAAGGGTGCTAAAATATCAATAATAGCAAAAAAGTTGATTTTCCGATTGTCAGACAAAAATTATTATTCATCCATTTGTTCTTCATATTATAATTATTCATATTATTCTTATTTCAAAAAAATGGCTATGAATATTTTATTTAAACCTGGGCAAACCAACCAAAAAAATGCCTGTGCAGGTCATAGGACTATTTTTATGTTGATTCTTGAAAGAGATTTTATCAGTTTTTTCATCGCTACTGGCAAGGTATCCTTTTGAAGCCAATTAAGCACCATTATACTACTACTAGTCAGAAATGCATTGTTTTATTAGAGTAAGCAATATGTATATTTCTAACAGTGCCTCCAGCCTTATTATTATTGATCATAGTTTTACAAGCTGCTTTAGAAAAATGGCTATGAATATTTTACTGAAACCTGGACAATAGTAATGAATGCAGTATTGAGTATGTCGTAGGGTAGTTTTAAAATTAATTCAAGTGCCTTCATTTGTTTCCCTGAAGAATTTCTCTAAGCCCTTCACTTTCTGCCATTGAAAAATCTGGGGTGTTTTACTAATGCACATTGATTGGAAAATAATTTGTGCAACTCATAGCACATTAATTGGAAACACTTACATTGAGAATTTATCATTTCTCGTGTCTGCTGTTCTTCATTGTTTCTCGAGTTAGCCGTGTATACTTTGTCCCTACGTGGCTTTCTGCAACTATTTTAATAAGTTTTCTAACAGTAGACGATTATCATAAAAGATTTTTCTACTCCTGTGAATGGTGATTTGTTCTACTGATTTTCATATTTTGCTGAAATTGTGAGTGTGTATTTTATTGTTATTATTGATATTTTTGTTTCACAAACCTACAGCAAAATCAGCTGGGTATTTTGCACCAAAACCTTGACAGATATACTATATGAAATGCTGTAAATGTCCATGACCTATTTAAAAAGTTTATTTACGTGACTATAAATAATTAATATATATATGCAATATTGTTGTGAGTGGCTTCCTTTGTACTTGACACTTGTTAACTGTGTGTTTACATGAAACCTCAGGTGGAAAAAGGCCAATGCAGCAGTAAACTGTTGAAAAACATGTAACATTCAACTGAATGTATATGCATGTATGTAGCTTAAATGTATTCTCCATAAATAGACATAAAAACTTAAGAAACAAAGATAATTAAAAATTGTTCATTTAAAAAGGGGGAATACGAATCATCAAAAAAGTACAGAAACAAGATGAATCAAAATGCAAACTTGGTACTCAAAAAAAAAAGAAGTAAACAAACTAGGCTGGAAATAGTGTATACATTTATCTTCTCAAGCTACAAATCCACTTCTTGAACAGAGATAAAGTTTGTTGCAAAAAAAAAAATGGATATAACTTGCAAAGTTTAAACTTGTTACCTATATTATTTAATTTGTGTGTGTGTGTATATATATATATATATATATATATATATATATATATTATTTAGTTTTTA